ATACATTTTTTATGTAGCATTTATCTCTTACAATTATACTTATAAAAGCAGCAGATAAAAAAATATACTTGCATCTTTAAGTAATATAAGGGAGACACGAGCTTTCTTTATTTAATTTTGAAAGATTAAATATATTACTTAAACCGAAATATAATAACTTGTTATTCTTCTATACTATATGATATAATTAATAGAATAATTGAATTTTCGCAAATTCGATGACATAATTATTTTATTCAGTTGGCTTTTCAATTACTAGCTTGCATTGTATGTGCACGTTACAAGAAGCAAATGCTGACGTGCGTACGCACGTTTTTACGTAAACACAACACTCGTATGCGCGGTACAGCAAAGCTTGCATCGTATGGCAAAATGCATATATTCCTAGGTCAGACTAATTAAATCAGGAGATTACGACTCGTTCGGACGCGACACGACTGGCGCCAAAATAAATGCGCGTACTGCTTTTTCACAGGATGCCTCATTAAATTTAGAAATTATTTCGACGCCTTTTTTACCAATACAGAGTTAGTTATAATTAAAAAAATCTTTTGTGTAAATTCAAATACGATTTTTTATTATTCTTTTTCTTCTGTTTTTTGAGGAATTTTATTAAAAATTTGATTGCCGTAAGATATTTGAAGCAATTTTAGTGAATGAGATTTTCAACTTTTGAATATGAAAAATTTACTTTTAATTTATTAAAAATTTATGAAAATTTATTCAAATGTGAAAACATTTTTTGATGGTAGAGTGAGATATCCTGTATATTTTCTTGATCCGTTTCAGAAATGTTCGTCGCCGCGGAGTGTCCATAAGATTTATAAAATCTTTGCGTGTGAGTCACAGATCTATGAAAAAATAATATTCTTATTTACTTGTTTGATAAAATTGGAACAATATCTAATTAAATGACTAATTATCACAATAATTAGTATTAATGTACAAAATTACGCTATACGTAATAATGGGAAAGCTAGCTTTCCACGGTCCACAAAGAGTTGAATGAAGTCATGGTTAATCGCATCGGGCGGTATATAGCATAATTTAATAGACTAAAGAAAACTGTGTTTAGCGAAATTTAACAAGAAATCTTAAAGTAAAAAATTTATTAATATAAGATATATCTCTCATTTTTTTCCTATAATTTTACTATTTCTATATGTATGTAACGCGTATTGCAATTTTGTACTATATATTATTATTACAATTGGCATGTAGGAAATATAAACAGAATGAAATATCATGATGACGTTCGGAACTGACGCTCAGGACATTTATCAGCAAGGAGCGGTGGAGCTTTGACTTTTTGCATTTGCAGATGAAAATTGAAATATTATGAGATAGGGATGAATTCACTCTTGATCAATCCCTTGTATAACATTGTTCTCAACGTACTGTTTTTAGATTTATAAAAATGGTCGCGATGAATTATTGTCTCTCTTCAATCGAAATTCGAGAAATGCGCCGCATTAGCTAGGCCGTCGATATCGTTATTCAGGCATTCGAGCTGAGAATCATTTGCGCGCCAAGTGTAAACACTCGAATAACGATTATGAACTCAAGAATCTAAATTTTTAGTGTACCGAATGTCGTTAAGCAACTTATTAATTAATTTATAAATTATATTATTTTAATATTGTTATAGATTATTGCAAACAATATGTAAATACTGTGTATAGTGTTTAAAAATAAGTTTTATATATTATAACAATTATACAAGCGAATAAGTTAATTATATCAATGTAATAGCATACACACGTTATAACAAAATCACCGTAGAATTTATTCTGATTTTGCGTTCGTGTAAAATTCATGTTTCGTAATCATCATTATGTCGAAGAGACTTACATCGCGACATTCGAATGTACAAACTTTAGGATGTAAACTCGTTGGATATTTGAGCAACGACGGCCTGGCAGAATGTTGATGTATCCAACGATAACAGTATTTTTAATTGAAGTGTCTGGAGAGAAATTGCGATATTCTGATTTCCGACGATTGTAATTAGAAGTGAAGACGTTCTAGCCAAAGGTGTTGTCCATCTTCGGTAGCTTCCACGCCTTACTCAAAAAGAAAATAAACTAAAATTCATATTTCTAGCTCAATTTTACTATCAACCCCATTAGTCTTTTCTGTAAAAAATAAAGATTTTTCTTTTAATAATTATAGCGCGCGCATGCGCAATAGTGATTATAAATATATTTAATTTTATGCGAAGAAGAATCGGAAAATGGGAAAAAGTAAAAGAAGATACTTGTTTCTTTGTTTATTTTCGAAATTTCGAAATTTGAAAATTTTTTGGCTATCATAATAATGGATATATAATTAGAATTAGATATTATATTCTTTATATTGTTTGTAGGAAATGTAAATACAAGAAAATAGTAAAAATAAACGGAAGATAAGATGAAAAGATATATAATTCTAAAAGTCATAAAAATAGAGATCTAATATTTATAAGCTGATTTGAATGTTCCATGTTTATTATCAATATTATATTTGTGTATATATATATATATATATATATATATATATATATCAGTATATACGTTTTTTGTGAAATCTATATAACTATAGAGGAAAGATCTTATATTCTTGCATAATTCCGTAATTTAGGAAAGATGAGAAACAAGCGAATGAATTAAAAGATATTAGAAGAAAAAATTCACATTTATAACATTTATTCTTATAAAATATAAATATAAAAAATATATTTTAAAGCTTTTCTATCATGATTAGGTTTTATTAATATATCGAGGATTAAATATAATATTAGATTAGAACATAAAGCATGGAATAAAAGAACACACAAAACAGATGATAAACTATAACTTGTCAGTCTGAGTTTCTTTTTTTTTAAGGAACGATACTGGCTTTTCTAACAATTAAAACGGCTATTATTGAATGTAGTTTATATATCAGAGAATTGCATATACAATATCAGAGAATTCTATGTGTTAAATTTTTATCTTCATTATTTATTGTGTGTGTTATTTTGAGAGTACGATATATTGGCAAATTACATTTGTATTTGTTAATATTTGAATTTAAGCGTTGTTTTCTTCTTCTGGCCATGTCATTATGCATTTTTAATCGAGGACAGTTTATATAAAATCGGGAATCTCGAGCTTAGTGTTTTTTCTGTTTAATAAAAAGATACTGAAATTAAACCAAAAACTATTTTAATGTTGCGGCAAGCTATTATTTTTTAATTATATTGGAAATTGAGGAATTTTGACATATTTAGTTTTATGAGCATGTCTAATTATAAATATTTTGGGAATAAATAGATAAAATTATTTTATTTATTTTAAATGGATTTATTTTCACAAAAATTTAATTTCTAATTGCAAGGTTATTATTATGAATAATATAATTATAATAAAAAAATCATAACTTCCCTCTCTCTTTAATTAATATTTAATTTTTTGTCAAGAAAATGATAGTCTCAAGTTCTGAAATCTCAGAGTCTGTACCTAAAAGGATGCAGATAAACTTGCGATAAGTTGTATAGCTAACTTTTGCAATTTAGAGCTTTGAACGTAACGAGCGATTTTTTAATCCATTTATTAGAAACTTTCAATATTAAAACATATGCCATTATCAATATCATTCTTTCGATGCTGTTAGCTAAACTTAATTAACTATATGGATTCTTATACTACGTATATAATAAGTTCTTAAATCTTGGAAATTTTAAAGTTAATAGCAACTGTAAAAATAATTTGTATATACGAGTTATAAGTAACGAAAGTTAAAAAGATCTATGAAGAAATAATGTGATTAAAAAATTTTCTTAATTACTTCATTATATACTACATAACTTTGCGAATAGTAGGCAATAAAATACCTCGTTGTATTTTATATTACTGTTCCTTCGTAGTAATAGTTACTTTTTTATTAAAAACAGAAGATTAAAAAATGTATTTTATAAGTTCTTTTAAATATTTTAAATATTATCTTTATTACAGTTATATAGAGATACGACATTATCAATAATAATTGAAAAAAGTAAAATTAAAAAAATATACAATTAAACTCATATATATACATATACATATATTTAAGAATTCATATATTTATATTTAAAAAACGATTTTAACATTATAAAGTATTCTTTTTTCCTCTTTTATTATTTAAAATTATACATATCTAAAATAAATAATAAAATAATTTACTAGATAATCTGTTTAGTTATTTTAATGAATATTTACATAAAATTTATACATATAATAAATATTTATAAAATCATAATAGTGCAAAAACTTAAGAAAAAGATAATAATTTAAAGTACTTTTTAGAAATGTTCTATTTATGTTTAGTTTAGCCATATTTTTTAAGATTTCTTTGTATGTAACTCATTGTCAGTATACTATGGGTGACTGTGACAATTTGCGCCAAGTATAATAATTGTTTAGCCGCTTCTCCTTAGAATCCACCTACGTTATCTGGAATCCATTAACGATTGGTGGGACGCTCGTTAACTGCGCTGGCGACAGAAAGTCGATAGTTAATTACGCAAATGAAGGGATCTCGTTAACAGCCATGGCGAACATGGCTACGATAGATCGTTAAGCAACATACCCACTGATTCGATCGCCATCGAAAGTGCACAAATCAGTGAGCTACGTGCGAGTATCCGATGCATTCCCATTTAAATCTCGGATGCAATCATATTAGATTGCATTTGGCTTTTAAATCGAGCAATAATTTTTATCCGTTTTTATTCACGATACTTTCATGAACATTCGTGAAACGACTGTCAAGAGCAAAATGTGGTTTGATGTAGTATCAGAATACGGTTTACACTAGGTCACTTGGATTTTATAGCAAGTTTTTAAATTGTTATTATACAGAGATATATAATATTAATTTAAGATAGCTGTCTTACTTAATTTAAGAAAAAGTAGATCTTTTCTTATTGAACATTTTATCTAATTTTTTTAAGAGTAAATATTTTGGTGCAATTTTAAAATAAATGTTTTGTATGAGTATACTTACATATTTAAATTTAATTCCAAAACTTGAACATAATATTTAACATTAAGAATCTTTAAAACTTTGTAAAATTATACACGGCCCCATTTAAAGCATATACGGCTAACTCAATTTGATAAAAATCAAAATAGATCACGCACGTCATTGTTATCCAAATAACAATAAGTTAATCAGACAATAAATTTATCAGACATACACAGGCTGCTGGTTGATAAGCGATAGGCAATTGTATTAACCATAATGGCTAATTAAACACGGCACGCTCGTGACACGTGTCACGCGCAAGTGACAGTTCGCGGCAAATTATCGTCTGCGTTCTCGCGGAAGCGACAGATTCGTGAAGAAAAGCAGCGTCAGATCGGGAAGACAGGATGAAGATGAAGAGTCGACGTGAATGGAATATTTTGGGACACGACACGTATAACAAGGTACGATCCACAGCGGCAGATGACAATTATGACTCCTTACGTGAATGTAATTATTCACGGCGCGAGTGCGGTTCACTTCAATTAATTGCGAGCAATTGCTGGATGATAAGGACCGACATTTTCCCGCTGCAGCTAATTACAGCGATTAAAAGAGCGATTAAAAGGGCATATCGAATTCAATCTTCACCATATGTCCTCACTGATATATCAAAGGCATTTCGTGTTACTCGTGATAAACGTTACGAACGCAGAAATTCGTAAGAGAAATTTGCTTCAAGAAATTAAATTGGAACAAATTTTATTTCTACATTTTTTTCACATAATTATTATTACAAAATTTTTATAAATGATTACTTCATATTACATTAAATATAATATATTAATATTGCAATGTAAATGTAAACAATTTTTTCAATATTTAATTTCAGAAGAAAGTTGATTAAAATGTTAAATAATCATTTCAAGTAAATCTGCGAACTTTATTGCGGTATCTATTTTTATTTACGTAATCTCTGACGCCTCAATTAAAACACTTTTGCATTAAAACACTTTTGATGTAGTATAATTAAATTTCATCGCACGAATTGTGCTGAAAATTTTAGCTAATTATTTAATTAATAAGTTTCACCTAATTAGTAATTTTATTTGCCAAGAATTCTGAATTATACTCGCAAAATGCTGCTTTTTAATAGAAAAAAACTTCTGACTTAAAGATTGAGACGCGCAAAAGAAAAACATTTCTTTTTCTTTGCTACGTTTCTCAAGGTATTTGAAAATAAGATATACTATAGAGATACATATAAATAAATTTAATAACGCTTAATTAAGAAGAACAATGATAAATATATGATAATTGAGGAAATTTATCATTATCTAATTTTTTTATCTTTATTTCATTCTTTAGAATATTTAAATAATATTATTGATTATAAAAATCTACGTACAATGATCAGGAAGATGTAATTTTTTACAATACAAAATAAAATGTTAAATACGTGGAATGCTTTTTATGTTAGCAGGTTTCGATTTCCAGAGTATATTTATATATATAAAGAGTTACACCTGACTTTTTATAAAGATCCAAAATTATTAGCAAAACAGTAAAATTCTGATTTGTGTTTTATGCTATATAGTATACAAATTTTTTTAAAGATTTTTCAAAGTTCTTGACTTGTGTGTGTGATACTATTATGATATTGTAAACTATTATATTTTTAGGATATAGTTTAATTGATCTGTTTGATCCACAGCCATATTTAGAAAGATTTAACTATTATTTGTTCAAGAATACGATATTCAACACTTATTTATTCGAGAATTTTTTCTTGTTGCTTATATTATAAATATAGTATCGTTGATCGATGAGATGTTATAAATATTAATTAAAATGTTCAAAAAATATATATAAAAATTACAGTAAAAACAATGTAATTTTATTTTTTTACTTTTAATGTAAAAGTTATTTTAAACAAATCAGATTTAAACACATTACGTTATATCGTTTACGCTGATAAATATTTTGTTTATTTATTAATTTTGATTACTGTCGATTATACACATTACGGATTTTATTTTTGCGTTTGATTTCATCTACTTTATTGCATCTTATTTCTGTATTGCAGTATTGTGACTGTTGATCTGCGCTGAGGATCCGTTGCAAATTTGCGATCGCTGCATGTAGATCTTCGAACAAAAAAAGCTTGTGCAAGGATGACCCGGAATTTATTTAAATAATGAAAAAAGCAGGCAATCGTAATATAATCAAAAGGTGCTTAGATAATATAAAATAATATAATTCTATTCTTATATCTTTTAATAAATTATAATATGAAAAAATAAATATTTTCCGACCGCGCAGACATTTTTATCAAATATGTACGTATATTTTCTAAAATTCTTATTTTTTAAATTTCTTAATTGTTAGGCCTTAAATTAAATTTTTGTAATTTAATATTTGCATTTTATATTTTGAAATATAAAGTATTATCTAACAACCTTAGAAATATATTACTAAAGTTTATTTAAACTTATATGTAGTTTTTTATTTTTGATATAAAACATTCTTTTATTTATCAATTCTCGAGAACTTCTAAATTCTTCATTTAAATTCTATTTGTATTTTTTTTTAGCAAAGTTATTATATAAACGGTTTAAGTTTATTTAAACAATTATGTGTAGCAAGGCACTTCATATATATTGTGTTGTAGGTTGAGAAACACTGATGCAAATGCTCAATTTATTAGTACACCAGACACCAGCGATCTGTCACAGTGGTAATATTTCATAATGTGTCAGACAATGCTCCATTATCTTACTACACGACGAGGTTTAGTTCTGTTAGATAGAACAACTGAACGATTTGTGATATTTTTGATAGTAATCAAATTATTATCAATAGTAGAATAGTATATTATGGAAGTTACATAATTATAGGTACATATTGTATAAATATCAGTTAAATTATCCTTTTTACATTATTCTTTTTCTCTCGCGATTTTCTCTTATTAAATCTCTTCAAAGATTTTTTTATATGTACATATAATACGTTTCTTTTTTTATTAATTATATATATATATATATATATATTTGTTTTAATTAAAATTAATATAAATATTTATGTTTACAAATTCTATTAAAAATTAGATTAAACTCTATATAACTTCATATTAAAATTTATATCTAATCGTCAATTATGTTGTATTTTGTTTTATATTATGGCAAAAAATGTATAACACGTTATAAATATATATTAATTATAATTTAATTTTCTTCATTTTTGACATCACATAAATAAATGCAAGAAGCAGGTAATTCTTATATATTAATTAATTAGTTAACATATATAATATAATATAAACATTATATTATATTATCAAGTTATAAAAATTAATTTTCTGCAAAAAGTTTTTGTGTAAAAATGCATTATTTTAATTAATTTTTATATAATAATTATGATGCGTTTGACAAGAAAACTAAAGATACAATGACACATATTGAATAGAAGTTCAGTCATAAGAATAATATATGTGCACGACTAATATTAATTATTTTATAGATAATATGCTTTTTTTAAGTTTTATTTTATGATAAAAATATATATATATATATTTTAAAAAATTGAATATAAAATAAAATAAATCAACGTTTTAAAGGATAGTATAAAATGTTTTTAAAATGTTTTATATATAACTTTTTTGCAACATTTCGTATAATTTGTTATGAGAAATTGAATGGACTTTATGATTTGTATTTATAGATTTATATTAATTTACCATAATTAATTAAAAATTTTTAATAAATTTATCTTTAATAAATTTACGAATTTAATTGTTACTTTTATAGAATTTATTTGTTATACCGTCTTTGATACACCATAACTTATAAGATATACAATTTTCATTAGCTCGTTTTAATAAATTTATTGCTGCGTATGGTATATAATATTCTTCCCGAAATTTAATATCTATGAAAATATATTTGGCTCTGGCTGAGTCGAGCATGCGTTTCGTCAAGTTATATTACAGAAAGGTGCTCCAATAAACGACATTAAGAATGAAGAACGAGAAAGGGAAGAAGAATCTGGAAACCTTATCGATGTAAATGGCGGTGGCTCGTCCTTGGCAGCAATGCTCATATTGAACTGTTGGTGTCCTCATTGGACTTCTGTTTCTTTCAGTACCCGGTCTCATCGGCGTCTACGGGAATTAAAAAAACGTCACAAGAAATAATATATAAATATAGAAAATCAATTCACGAGCATTATTTATTTCGACGTTTTTTTTTCTTTCCCCTATCAATTAGCTTATATTAATCAAGACTGTTGCGAGGTAAGTATGTGTATATTAGATTATAATATTTGTTATGCAATTGTGTAATTATAATTTTGTTATATGTATAAAGAACGTAATTGTGATATAATTAAAAATATACCAAAAAATTAAATTTTATTCATACATTTTTTAATGATATATGTATTCTTTAATATTATTAATTAAATGCTTTAATATTATTAATTATTATTTAAATGTTTTTACATATATTTTGTACATACATATAAACTATTTTTTTAACTTTGTATATATTACATAGTTTTTATATTTGTATATAATACAACAATAAATAGAAAATGATAATACATTGCCTGATAAAATAAAAGTAATAAGATTGAATTTAATATTGTACATTAATGATCAATTTATCTGCTCAATCAAAGGAGATAACATATGCATAATTCATAGAAAACTTAATTATTTAGCCGTAAGAAACGTAAAGTTACTTTTGCTTATTAAACAAAAACTATATATATTTTGTGTGTACGATTTATCGTTGTGAAACGAGTGAAAGTAAACAGTTGCACAGTAGTACAAGCAAATATCATGCGCAACGGATGCAACGGAAACAGAATACATTCTATATATAGCGTTTGGCGAACTGCGAAGTCTGCGTAAACTACTAGAGAAAAGGAGAGAATAGATATTGCTCTGCGAATTGAAGCGGGAGATGAATGTATCGCAATAAAATAGAACTTGGAAACTTATTCGAGAAGGAAGTTACCGGCGACAAGTTACTTGCCAGGCTGTACGAGAGTGGTCGTCTAAGAGAGCAATTATATTTTGAATGGCTCTTTCTATTATCAATGTTATTTATAAATTCAATTCAATTTTCATACGATGAAAATTCTTTCTGCATATAGAAAGATAATTATATTTTACGAATAAAAAAAATTTAATTTTAAATGGATTTTTCGCATTGTTAAAACTGTACGCGCGAAGAATATTTATTTTCTTGCTCTCTCTTTTTCTCTTATCAAATGAAAAATGATGTAACTGTGACATTTGTTACGACGATTTTTATAAATGTTGATAATTTATCACGGTCGTGGTTTACAATGTAGTGTCATTTATTTTAGGCGTTTTTATTCAATTGGGCGATATCGCACCAACAGAAAAAAATCGCATTACTCTTAGCAATGGTGCCACGTATTTCGTTTTATCTCGACTATCAATTTCGCGGAGTCAGCGAAGCATTTGCCGTAATAAATATACTGCGCTTTTCTAAATACTCTGCGTTTTCACCTTGAAGTCGTCGATAGCCTCCCTAAGATCTTCGTCCGAATATCCTTTCATGGCCTTCGTGGCGACTGGCCCCATGTAGTTGTTTACTACTGCAAACTCCATAAGGGACAAGAAGACGAATACGCTGCATGAAGACATCCATACGTCGATCGCTTTTACATATGAAACCGGCGGTAGAGATTGCTGAGATTGCGTGTTTTGAGTAGCTGAAAAGAAGACATTAACCCTCTATTTTCATTTACAGTTATGTGCAAAATAATAGCATCGCTTGAAAAAATGAGGGGATGTATGTTTCTGTTTTGACAGTATGTCTAGGATTAAATTCTGACTTTTGTGGTCGAACGAACTGACGAATACCAGGAAATCCTATAATAATCACTTTTTAATGGTGCAGGAAATATACAAATTTCCCTCGCTTTTTCAACCGATGCTATTATTTTACACATAACTACATATTGATGGCTACATATGTAATTTAATTCTAACTGACGTCTGTTTCCATCTTTTATTCATGTATAGGGAATGTTTTTTATATTTATAATCTCTCGCAAATTACATTAATACGACTATCAAATATATTATCAACTATCAAATATTTATGTTGTATATTAAATATAAATTATTTCCATTTTTGGAATAAAACCCACATTGATATTTATTGCAAATAATTTTCCTTTAACTATTAACTTATTAATTTTAACTTGCAATAAGTTAAAGAAAAGAAGAATTTACATAAATTAAAAACTCTGTTATAAAATCAAAGGTTTCATACTAGAACTCTTTCAGAAGGTTTATAGCTGATTCAGTCGTTGTTATAGCTCGACAAAGGATTTCTACGTAATCGCAAATATCATGAATAGTTAACGCGAACAATGGATATAGGAGAAGTGGTCTTACCGAGGGTCAGCAGTGACGTCACGCCGAGGGTGACACGTGCCGGGATGGCTTCCGGCTTGATCCAGAAGGCGATCCAGGACATGACGACGATCAGGGCGGACGGGATGTACGTGTGGAACAAGTGATAACCCAGTCTCCGGCGTAGATTGAAGACAATCTGTATGCACGTGAAGTTTCCGGTCGAGTATTCGATCGTGCAGTCGGTCGTGTAGTTGTTCGATATGTCTAGCTGCGGTAGCTCGATCTCCGGATTAACCACTAGGGGATCCGTCATGTTCCATAGGAATACCAGGTCTTGAGTCGTGTGCGAAACTGCAGGAAAATTATATATTATATTATATATAATAATAATAAATACACAAATCATATAGCTTTGGACAGAATCGATGTATAAATATTTTTATATTAAATGTTTCTATTAAATTAATCATATGATATAAATAATTTGTGTGTTATAATTAATTATAGGGATAAATGTTTCATAAACAGGTAGTAAAACGTGTCATAAATATCCATTGTACGTTTTTTTTCCTAAAAGATTAACTATGAGAAATATTATAATATTACAATTTGCATTACTGTTATTTATTATGTACTTACGACTCTCGATCATCATTGAGCAAATTTGTGTGTCATGAGGATAGGACTCGAACTTCATCGCACAAGAGAGCACCAATGTCAATCTAAAACGAGTATTGCGTTTTTTGATATTTGATACAATCCATCAATCAAATTGCATTTCAACCTCTAGTACGAGTGAATTACTCGATAGCGCTATATTTGGACAATCACAAATATAATACTATTGATATCTTTTATTATTTTTTCGACTATGCAAAATATTCAAAACAAGAGGAGGTAAATTTATATATTTTATTGACAATAAAATTAACAAAATAGACGACATCTTGTTTTTTAACACGTTAAATTAAAATTGTAGGTGGAAATAAATGTGAAGCCGAGATAGAGACTTTCATAAATTAAAAATGTGTGCTACATATATATGCAAATCGAAATACATCAATGTCACAATTGAATATTTAAGTAAATTGTATTCTTGAAATTTAATTAATACTTCAATATTTTTATTAATAATGAATTAAAATTTCGAAATATTAAAAAAATTATTATTTAAATTATAATTGGAAGTTCTTTAAAATGTAACAATACTCCTGCATATATATAATTATAATTATTTAAACATCTCATTATGCTCTAGCAAATAATACAAATATAATTATATTTAATATTATAATCATATTTAATATTATATTACATTACCTGAAAAAATTACTTAACGTAACAAAATAAATTTTATAAAAAAATATACTGCTCTCTTTTTGAAATTTCAGTTGAAATTTTAAAATTAAGTATAGCATTTTGCACACAAAGAACGTTAAAACTAACAATAAATTCGCTAAACTCTAGTTTTTCCTTGGCTTTTAATGTGTGGTGTTGGAGTGTATGTATTTTATTGTAATAGTTTTGTTTGTTCAAAGAGGAGTGCTTTTATA